ATCTACATGGTATTTTCTGTTCCTAACATGGTCCCTCAGGATGGGTGCTGTTGTGGTAGACCTCAAGCTGGCTGTGGATTTTATTAGTGTGGCTGTAGATGTTGGCTTCATCCAGGCTGTCCTGCACTGGCAGGAGTTCTGGGTTGTGTTGGTGAGAACCTCTGTTCCTGTATGAAGCTGTTGGTCACAAGCAACGAGGTGATGTGGTTCTTGAACCTGTGCAGACCTCTGGAGTGAGGCTCACCTCAAACAAGACCTGTTACTGCTTTCCCCTTTGCTATGTTAAAATTAATGTTAAAAATATTAGGTGTACGCAAGTCCTTTTCTTATTGATTAGTGCTGAAAGTGTGTCTTGTTAGCCTTGGAAAAGTCTATCTGGATGTAAGCAGGAGGCAGAGGAAGACATTTCCTTATTCCTTTTCCTTGGCTGGTAATCTCCTGGCAGCACAAGTGTTTGCCAGGCAGCAGTCAGGCAGGACTCATGATCTCCTGCACTGAAGCTCTTCTCCTGCAGGGAGTCATTGCACCAACCCAGCAGGATGGTGCTTGCCCTTCCAGCAGCTGGGGGAACACCCTGTGGAGCAGAAGGAGCTGACTGTAGGCTCAGGGTGAGATGGGGCAGGTCTGCAACCTTTCTGCTCCCAAGGCTGGGCAGCTTGGGGCAGCTCTTTCTGCTTGACAGAGTCCCAGGGGGCAATCCTGATGTGGCTGCATCCATGGAAATTTTGTCCTTTGAAAGTCCTGTGTGCTGATTCATGATCCTGTTCACTTGGGTCTAGTCCATGGGGCATTTTCAGAGTGTAAAGATTTCTTCTCAGGCCTTTAATGGCATCTTTCATGTGTATTGGAGGTATTTATCCCATAAATAAACTCAAATGCATAGAGGAGGGAGTTTCTGTTTCTTTGCTGAGGGTGGAAGAATGGTTAAGCCTTAGAATCATGCTCAGAGCTTGGCCCAGAGGGGTTAGGTTTGGTTCTTTAGTGGGTCTAAACTGTGTTAAATAAACTCCATGGCCATGGTGGCTCCTTGTTCAGCCTATTGTTTTCTTCAGGCACAGCACAGGGAACAGTGCTGGGGCAGGGAGTGTGGAGTCCTGTCAGGGTCATGACTTCTTCACTAGAGGCTTGGAGCAGCATTAAAAATTCATCAGGGGCAGATGATTTATATTCTGAGAGCAGTCACACTGTTCTGCTTGCAAGGTGTATCAGTATGCAAAGTACAGCTCTGGCTGCTCATTCCTGTGTGCCCTTTCCACTGTAAATAGGTTTGATGTCAGTGTGTGTGTGTGTCTGGAGATGGAATATTGAGCTGGACAAGGATTGGATGTTTTCCCTGCAGAGGGTGGTGATCCCACAGCAAGTAGAAATCTTTGTGATGTTGGTTTTCAGTCATCTTCATGAAAAGAATTGCTGGGAGTCAGATGGTAGAATCACTGAATTGTTTAGGTTGGAAAAGACCTCTACAGTCATAGAGTCCAAGTGTTAACCCAGCACAGCCAACCCTACCACGAAAACATGTTCCCAAGTGCCACATCTACACAGCTTTTAAATCCCTCCAGGCATGGTGACTCCACCACTGCCCTGGGCAGCTGTGCCAGGGCTGGATAACCCGTCCAGGGAAGAAATTTGTCATAAAATGTGTGGGGATGCAATACTGGCCACTGTTCAGACTCTCTCCAGCCATGGCAAAGCATCCAACAGACAGTTTGCTAAATCTTCTCCATAGAGTTCAGTGTAGCAGGTGAACTAGACGTGGCTGTGACTGGTGCTTGGAGTCCTGTGTGGTAGCCCTGGTCGTGGAGTGGGGAGTGTGACCTGCCTGCAGGAAGGGGCTGTTTGCCCCCATGAGCAGCTCTAGGGCTGTGCTCCATGCTTGTACCTTGTAAGGAGCATGTTGGTTCTCAAGCATTACCTTTCAAGCGCATGGATGAAAAGTTGGGTCATCTGACTTACTTTTTTTGCAGTGTCATTTTTTTCCAACTCCAACATTCATGGCTGTGATACTGTCCAGAAAGCAGCTGTGAGAGAAACCTCTTGCCACCTCTAGAACTGCAGAGATCACACAGGCTTCTACTTGGCCTGTATTTTGAACCAATACCCATGGAAAAAAAGCACAATTTGCTAAAATTTGGGGTTTCCCATGTGCTACTGCTTCTTGTGGGGACTTCAGCTCAGGAGATTGTGTCTATCCCAGTGGCTGTGGCTCAAGTCTAAACTTAACCTTGACATTGGGATGAAGATAGTTCCTTTATCTGATTGCAAACGAGGAAATACATTTCTGAAAATAATTAATGGTCCCTGAAGAGTATCTTTTTATTAGCCTCTGTGTGTGTGTGTGAAAGCCTCCAGTCTATAAATACACAGTAGTTTCCTCCTCAGCCTCAATAGGACCCATCCCAGCTCTGCAGTTTCTGTCCCATGGCACTTGTTTGCATGGAGAGGACGTGACAGGGCAGGACTGTGCTGGGTCACACCGTGCGTCAGGAGCCTGGTGGGGCAGGATGGGGAGCCAAAGATATGTTTCTCTGGAAAGTTTTCTCTTTCATTGCAGTTTCTCAGTGGGGAGGATTCCAAAACCCAACCAGGTGGTGGTTAACAAGGCCCGACATTGGGTGGTGGTAGCTGCCAGCTTGGCAGCGGTTTGCTGCGTTATCTGTCATTAGGGTTGTGTTAATTGCAGGAGATGCAGTGGGGCAGGGAGGGGAGTGTTGTGAGGTGGTGTGTGCTGCATCCCATCCAGCTTGGGCAGGGAGCCTGTGCCTGTGCTTGCCACAGCTCCTGCCTGTTGGCTGCCGCACGCTGGGCGTGGGGCACAGTCTGCTGCTGCAGCATTAACCATTACCTTAGGGAAAGGTAATTATTCCTGAAGAAATCATACCTGGTGAACGAGGAACTGTGATGAACTGCTTTCAGGCTGCACTGGATGCTTGTTTGATCTTCACTCCCTGTGTTGATGTCATGCCAGCAATGGCCTCAGTGTCCTCCTGGACACAGCGAGTGGTGCTGTGGCAAAAATTGCCATGTCTCTGTTGGGATCAGGGACAGCTGAGATTGTGACAGAAGTCACAGAATGGTTAGAGTTGGAAGAGACCTCAGAGACTGCAGGGAATCCTTCCACTAGACCAGGTTGCTCCAAGCCCCATCCAGCCTGGCCTGGAACACTTCCAGGGATGGAGCAGCCACAGCTTCTCTGGGCAACCTGTGCCAGTGTCTCACCACCCTCACAGGGAACAATTTCTTCCCAATATCCCATCTATTCCTGCCCTCTGGCAGTGGGAAGCCATTTCCCCTTGTCCTGTCACTCCATGCCTTGTCCCAGGTCCCTCTCCAGCTCTCTTGGATCTTCTTTAGGCACTGGAAGGAGCTCTGAGGTCTCCCTGGAGCTTCTCTTCTCCAGGCTGAACAACCTCAACACCTGTGCCCTCCTTGCACAAGCCCAGGGTGTCCATAGTGTAAATATATGATCTGGGCTGACAAATGATGTGTCATTTTGACAGTCTGAAATGTTTACTTTTCTATTTGACAGTTTCCATTTGGTCACTGAGTTGTCTAGAGGTTTGTGATGAAGTTACCAGTAAATAAGCCCACTGATGTCCCATAAATAGCTGGAGACTGTGCCAGGTGCCCTTGGGAACAGTAAATCTTTGGGAAATGTATTGATTCCCAATCTTGGCTTTGCACTCTGGATGAACTTTGTCCTCACAGAATAATAGAAGGTGATTTTTCTTTACCAGCCAGCTGGCCTTTAAATGAGCTACTTTTAACACCACCACAAGCTCTAATCCAAGTAAACACAGACAGGATGATTTTGGAGCTGGGAGGAGCAGCCAGATCAGTTCATAACAAGGTTTAATACTTAGCATGTTCTCAACTATTGTCCTTAAACATCACAATTGGCTCTGACTGCATGGTACAAGATCAATGTTTTATGCTCTTTGGGTCATGCAAGTGGTGGGTTTGGTGGTTTGCATTAACTGCAAGCAATGAAATAATGAAACAGGATTAGAGGAGTGATTTGAGGGAAATGCTGGTTTCGATAATCAGATTTGAACTGCAATCTGTCTGCATTGACACAGGAGTAAGTCTGACAGAGAGGGTCCTGAGGGGTGAGGCAGGGCTCATGGTCAGGTCTGAGCAGTGCCAGATGAGCCTGGCTGGGCAGTTTGTGGTTTAATAGGTGCTCCCTGTTGTGCAGCCTTTAGCTTTTCCTACCTAGACCTACCCAGGAAATAGGTAAGGATCAAGAGGCATGATGTGGCTCTTAGGATTTCAGGGCAGGGAGCTCTTTTCTTCCTTGCAGACAGCTCTTTGCCTTGTTTTTTCCTTAGAGGGCTCTTTATAAGTTGGGAATTGGGGAGTAACTGGGATGAGATAGGAGCATCCAGGGGATTTCACAGACTTAATGGTGCTGGAGAGGCTTTTTCTGCTGGACATCTGCTCCCAGCTGGTCTGGGGGCAAGAGCTTCTGTGAGATCAACCCTGGGGCTTTAAGGAGCCAATGTTTCAAAGCCATGTTACCTTCGATGTAGGGGATGTGAGTTCCCTTTTCAAATGGACAATTCAGAGGAAACTCTAGGTATTTATTTGGCTGAAATACTTCTGTTCCACTTGTGTACCTTGTGTGCTTCCAACAGCTCCTCTGAGTGCCTGTCCCATGAAACACCTCTGTGCTGATGGGTGCAGAGGACCACCAACAATGTTTAAAAGCCTGAAGTAAACACTTCACGGGAGTAACTGCTGTCAGGATGTTTTTTGGGCAGTGCTTGCCCCTTTGCCCAGTGCATCCACCCCCTAGGCAAGTCCCTTAAAGCTGTTTCTCTCTCTGTGTGTGTACAGGGAGTTCTCCATGCTCCAAGGCTGTCCCTGCACATCCCCCAAGGAGCTAGCAGGGCCCAAACTTTTCTGGGGGAATATGGACTGAAAGAGGAGCTTCGCCAGAGCCCAGCTGCCAGCATCCTTCTCCTGGACCCTGATGGACTCTGAGACAGGACTGCATTACCATGGTGATGATCTTAACCAAACCTCGGGCAAACAAAGGTGCTGACTCCATAACATGCAGGACTGAGCTGGTAAGTTTTGTGGAGTCTGTGTTCAAAACTGGTTTGCTGCTGAGAGCTTTGCTGTAGCTTTATAATGAGGGTTTCCTGTGCTGCAGGGATGGAACTTTAGATGTTTTGTAGCATTGATTTATACAAAGCTGCATTAATATCCAAGGAGCTGGTGATTAGTAAGTGGTTGGAGTGCTGTGACTTTTGCATATGTGGATTTCAGTAAGCATCCAGTGGGATAAACAGTGAGAAAAAATCAAATCAATGCAGTGAATAACACAGGTGAAAAGTTGCTTCACCACCAGTGAACAGATGCTCATCATGAATATGAGTATGAGCAAGTGGGGAGCAGGATTAAGTGGGAGATAGTGAAGGGCAGTGCCATGGTACTTAATTTCACTGGGAGCCTGGAGAGATGGAAATCCAAGCACACTGAATGAGCAGGCAACAACAAAAACACAAATGAGGGTCAGCAAACAGACTAAAGGATGCTGCAAGGGGTGAGCAAGGCCGTGGGACTGAGTACCTATGGTGGGGAGCAGGGTCAGGAGAAAGAGGTGCCAGGGGATGGATAGCCATCTGTGAAAGTCCAGAGCAAGGCTGGTTGTGGACATTTGCTTCTCTGTCCTCCTGGTGGTGGTCAGAGAAGAAATGACCCTGAAAAAGGCAGGGTGCACTGAGAGTCACAGATAAGGGCATGCAGGAACACGGCAGGAAGCATCTGGCAGGATCAGCCATAAATGGACATTTTGAACATAAAAGAGATATAAATGCCTGAGTTTTCCAAGGATGACAAACTGTCCAGCTGGGCTTCCTAGGCAGAGCACAGTGTGCTGGGGAGATGACAGGCTGCCCTGGCCAAGAATGGTGGAGGAGAAGGTGAGCAAGCCAGAGGCAGTGTGACATTTTGCCTTAGAGGGTGAAATTTGGGAAGGATATTGGTATATTAAAAGAATATCCTTGCTTTAGTGTTAGCTCCTGCTGGGAAGGCAACATCTCCTGCAGCTGGTGATGAGGGGGGAGCCTGGGCATCCGATGCTGGTGGTGTCCCAGGAGGTGGAGGGGAACTTGGAGCAGAGAGGCAATGAGAGTAGCTTCTTCTGCTCCTATGAATAGGTGGGTGCTCAGGCTGTGTGATGGCAGGTGGCAGAGGTGCAGAGCTGTAAGGTGAAACTTTGCCCTTGTGTGTTTGTTGAGTGCTTCCCACAGCCCTGGGGCTGAGTCGATAGTGCAGTGATGGTCCTGGGTACACAGCTTGAATTGCTGGGTTGCCTAGGCTGTTAAATTGGGGCAGATGATCACAAGAAGGCTGATCCAACAAAGAAAGTAAGAGTTTTTCTGTTGGCTTCGTGGGAAAGGCCAAAAGGCAAACCCTAAGGAAATACATGTGTGAGCAATGGGGCAGTATCACCTGCCAACAGTCGATGTTCTCGTTTGGTTCAGCTCCCAGTTTGGTGTTAAGACAAAATTCTTACCAAATGGTAATTATACTCAGTATGGGATGTGTCATATTCTTCTCCCTCCTGCATTTGCAGTCAGTGGCTGGTCTCTGGGGCTGGCACACAGGTGTGCTTGGCACAACCACTGCCTTCTCTGGGGCTTGTCCCACTTCTTTGCTCCACTTTAGCCGTTCTTTGGAGGCAGCTGTTTGTCCTCTGTGCCTCCTGATTAGTTCTACCTGCTGCTTCATAAGGTGGAACTTGACAGATAGAGATATCCTTAGTTCACCTAGGAAAGTGGGACATGCTGGAAAGAAGGTGACTGACCCGTATTTTTCTTCTCCCTGTCTGCACCCCATAGCTGGTTTGGCCTCCACATCCCTCTATAATCAATATTTGCAGCATTCTGTATATGAAGTGGAATCTTTTATTGGACTGGTCTGTACAGGCAGGTGCCATCATTTGGTACATTATTATTGTCCTTATTATGCACAGGCTTGGAGTGGAGCAGCCTGGGCTAGGGGAAGGTGGATGGGGTTGGAACTGGATGATCTTGAAGGTTCCTTCCAACCCAAACCATTCTGTGATTCTATGGTTGTGTGAGCAGGTTCCATGTAAAACATGGATCAGGAGAGAAGGTGTGAATGCAGTGGCTTAATGCCAGATAAAACACGGCTATGGCAGCGCAGATGAACGTGGAGGTCGGAGCAGCCTGGGCTAGGGGAAGGTGGATGGGGTTGGAACTGGATGATCTTGAAGGTTCCTTCCAACCCAAACCATTCTGTGATTCTATGGTTGTGTGAGCAGGTTCCATGTAAAACATGGATCAGGAGAGAAGGTGTGAATGCAGTGGCTTAATGCCAGATAAAACACGGCTATGGCAGCGCAGATGAACGTGGAGGTCATGCTGGTGCTTCCCTCAGATGGTGTAAAGTCTCGGTCAGATGGGATGGTGTTGCCAGGATAGACACTTCAGAAGCCAGAATATGGATGTTTTTAGGGATACTTTAAGGACAATTACTATGAAAGTGTGTTTTCGCAGGCATAGCTAAAATGGCATGTAGCTGCAGATGACATGTTGATGTATTGTATGTAAAACCATCCATGCTCATTTTTAGAAGTCTAATGGTGTCTCTTATGCTGTCAAGAGGAAAATTCATGACAAAAAAAAAAGAATGTGAAAAGCAAACAGGATTATTCTGTACCCATATAGTGGCATTTTTCCCTATTTTTAGTGCAAATCAGCACGATCCAAGTGCAGACTCCCCAGAAGTGCTGAGGTGAGGTTGCCTTGCCTTAGAAACACATTGTATGTTTAAAAGAACTAAATAGCTGCTTTGTACCTAGATGGGGGAGGCCTTGATGGGCTTGGATGAGGTTCAGATACCACGGCTGCTGCTTTCTTGCCCAATCCAGAGTTACTGCTGAATTACAGCTCCCATTTTGGTTTCTCTGGTGTTTTGGGTCTGGGTAAGGATTAGCTGCCGGATCCAAGCTCAGACAATGACAACGACTCTGCAGAGTGTTTAATTGAATTTGATTTCATTGAGGGAAGATGACTGGGTCTGCCCCTGGTCCCTGCTGAAGTGGGACCATCACAGGTGCCCGAGGCTCTCCTCCCCACCGGGTGCCATGGCTTTGCCAAGGCTGGAGGCAGGGTGGTTTCTGGTGTCCAGGTCGAGTCTGCTAGAAGTGAATAGTTTTTCTGGTTGTTTGCAGCACACTCCAAAGATGAGTCAAGGACCTACCCTCTTCTCTTGCGGCGTGATGGGTAAGTAACAGAAACTTCTGTCCGTATTTACTCACCTCTGTGCCTGCTTCCTCAGAGTGATGGGTGGGAAGATGTCCTGACTACACGGATGTCTCCAAAAAACACTCTCTTGCAGACTTTGAGGTGGACATCCACCCACCTGCCCCCACAGCAGGGACAGAGGGGCACCCACCCCACCACGATTAGTGGTGACCATCACGCCTGTGCCACTCTCCTTCCCAAAGGTGCTGGTTGTGCCCTGTTACCATTGCTGAGTGAATTGCTTATCTCCTCTCCCCTCCCCTTTGATATATCTGCTTATTTTTAGAGTAACTCATACAGTGGAGATTATAAACATTTGGGGTCTGAGGTTGTGTTTGAGTATCCAACCCATGACTGTGACTTTTGAATGTTTGCACAGTGCAAGTAATAAATAACAGTATTATCACCAAAATGTTCTACCACTTGGCACAAAGTGTTGGACAGACCTCAAACAGTAAGGAAAATGTCTTATTTTTGCTGTTGACAGTAACCATGATACAGGATATTTAATGCCTTTTATGTCAGAGCTTGCTATCAATTTTTATGCCGAGCAGCCACCAAAATTGATGGAGGATTGGTGCCTTGGCTGATGGTCCTGAAAAACTGATAGTGCCAGAGGATGTGCAGTTATATTGTGCTCTGTGGCGTTCGTAGTGAGGAGCCAGACACTGGGCGAAGTCTCAAAGCCCAATTAAAATTGTAGGTCAAGTTTGAGCCAAGCTACTTGCTGTGAAAGCCAATACTTCACAGACAAAGAGGCTGCCCCGTTTCTTCATGGACACAACTCTCATTAGCGTTAATGAGAGCCCAGCACATGCATTGACAGGAGATGTCTTCCAGGCTCTCTGATAACTCCATTCATTGGGGTGTGGGGGACACAGAGAGCATTTGGGGTTTTTTCAGATGAGAATTACAAGCTTCAAAGTCAAGAAGGGGTAGAGGCAGCCCATTCCCTTTCTGCTGCCTGTCAAACAAGAGTGAAGAACAATGAAACCCAATCAGATGGTTTTGTCTTGTGCTGTGGCACTAGCAGGCTCTTCAACAGAGAAGTAGAGCCTATGCCTAATTGAAGAGCAGCTTGTCTTTTAAGAGCTTTCACAAAGCCTTCTGCATCTTTGTAGCGCTGTGTTGGTCTTCTGTGGCTGCCAAATCATCCTCTTTCTAAGGGAACTGAGTGTCACCTCCTTGACCTCAGCTTGCCCTGTAATGGTCTTCGTCATGCCCAGTCAAAGGAGTCTGTCTCTCCAGTGTATTAAGGGATTGGTTGGCTTGGGTTTCAATTTAGCTATCTTTCCCAAGCTTTCTTCTTGATATCTCCCAATGTGGGCAGTAATCACAGACTAATCCAGTGTCAAAACTTGCTTGACTGTTTAAATAAGTCATTATAAGTCGTAATTCCTAAGTTTTTATGGCACTGAATGCAAAACTGGGGGAGTATTTCAGGGCCAAGTGCCTGTTGGTAGAAAGCACCTAGGTAAATAAATACGGTGAAGTTTGGACTGGTAGTGCAGGCAATGGGAGGCAAAGACTCATAGTTCCATGTATGATGTTGGGGGAAAGTAGGGAAGTTGGCTGAGTTTACTGGGGTTTTAGCCAGAAGAGGCTGAGGATCTTAGCACAAGGTGAGGCCTTTGAGATGAGGACAGCTTTGGGCAGGAAGGCAGCTCATGGCTGGTCCCAGTGGCCCAGCCTCTGCCAGGGAGAGCATCATCCAAACCCTGGAGTTCACCTTGTAAGGAACTAAACACTGCAAGAATCTGAAAATGGGTTAGAGATTGTAACAGAACTCAATATACTGAGTAAAAATTATTAAACACTTGATATGTTGGATAATGCGATGTTGGATCCAGAAACACTCCAGCCAGTGTGATGATAACATTACTAAAAATATTTGCATTTTATCTTTATATAGCCCTTTGCCTAAAATTATAAATTCAACAATTTCTGTTTTCCATTCTCCTTGATGGATCCTTGACACACCTGGGAGTGTAAGAATTGTCCTATCGTTGGATAGGGGTATTTTTCTCCTTTTCTCCAGTTGTCTACATCCCATGTCCACAGAGGAAATATCAGTGACTGTGCTAGAGAAGGAAGGTGTCATATTAGAAAGTTGGAGCTTTAGGGTTGTGAGGCACTGGCACAGGTTGCCCAGAGCAGCTGTGGCTGCCCCAGCCCTGGAGGTGTTCCAGGCCAGGTTGGATGGGGCTTGGAGCAACCTGGGCTGGTGGAAGGTGTCCCTGCCCATGGCAGTGGGGTTGGAACTAGATGATCTGTAAGGTCCCTTTCAGTTCAAACCGTTCTGTGATTCTGTTATTTTTGACTTCCTGTATCGAATTTTTTCTGTCTTTGAGTGGATGACAACAGAAAATGTACAGTATTTTAAGAAGACATTGGCAGCATTGCCTAACCTTTCCCTAGCAGGAAAGAAGTACTTGGTATCCAAGTTGGTAGCACCAGAGGCTGCACTAGTCCCGTCTTGTATCATAGAATCACAGAACAGTTTGGGTTGGAAGGGACCTTAAAGCCCATCTAGTTCCACCCCCTACCATGGGCAGGGGCACCTTCCACTAGACCAAGTTGCTCCAAGCCCCATCCAACCTGGCCTTGTATGGGAAGCTCAGTGGGTGTGTGCTGACAGCTGTGGCCTCCTGTTTTCTGTGTAAGCAAGAAGTTATCTCTGAGGCAAGCTGCAGCAGGGTTTTATTGAGGCTGTGACAAGGTGCTTGCGCATGCAGTCGCCATGGTCACAGGATCAGTCATGGCGTGGCAGGCGTTGCATGCACAGCCCTGATTGGAAAAGGGAGGAAAAGGAGGGGTTAGGTTTGAGCCCATCTGGGACAGATCCTGCATACATCCTCTGTGAAGTGCTCTTTTCAAAGTAAACATCAGTTGTTTTTACCCTTGGAGACCACCCCCAGAATTTGTCCTTATAGACCTCTGTGGCATAGCAGGATGATGTATTACGTACCCAGGTCAACTTGTCTGTCCTTTCTCACTCTGCTCCACCAGCACCATTTGGCAACATCACTGGAGGAGCTGCAGCTTTGGGCTCTCTGTTGCACACCTCTTTACCTGGAAGTGACTTTTCACCATGCATGTGTGACAGAGGAAAGCCCAAGAAGCCAAAAGAGAAGCAAACTCATAGAATCATTAAGGTTGGAAAAGACCTCCAAGATCATCAAGTCCAGCCTTTGATGGGGGTGATGCCCCTTGATTGCATCCTGAAAGCACCTGCAAGGCTTGCATGCCTCATATTCCTGAACCAGGATTTCCTGGAATTTCAGGGTTTGTTTTTTTTTGAAAAGCCAGCAGTGTAGAGCAGAATCTTGGAGCACATTCCAGCACAATCACCCCACAAGGATAAAAAGGACACTCAGGGAATTCTGGTGAGGTATAGCTGGAGTGGGGAGACCTCACCAGAGGATTGCGTTGAAGAGCAGGGCATGTTTCATCACTGGAGTGGGGAATTTCCCTCTGCTGTGCAGGCTGATGGCATGAGGAGCCTGCAGCCCACTGGTGTGCTTATTCTCCAGAGTAGATTTTAGGGCTGTTGTTTTCATTTCCCATTGAAGCAAAGCTCCGTGCATTGTATTTTCACCTTATTTCTGCCCTGGGAAGGCTCTATGGCACTGCCATCAGCTAATTACAACCCTTAAATGTGTTCCACATTTAGAAATTTTCTCTTGAACATAAACAGGGGAGACAATGGAAAATTAACATTGCCTTTTCCCCCTGTGCACAGGGACTGTGAAAACAAATTCAGCTTGAACAACACGTGAAGAAAGGGAGTTGGATGCACACCTGTGCAGACAGAAATGTTTGGGTTAGGATCCAGACAGAATTTATCTGCCAAAGAGGATAAGAGAAATTGATTGAAACCCCTAATTGCTTTACAAGTTGCTGTAATAAATTATGCATTAATGTAAATTATTTCACGGGACAGGAATGCGGAGGAGACTTGAGCAGAAGGATCATGCATTATGTATAAAAAGGAACTGTAAAAATATTATAGCAGCACATTTGTGTCGCTGTAGTCAGAGTTGTGTCAGCGCTTCGGTTTTACACCCTTCTCTGTGGTTATCCCAGTGGTCATTTAAACCTACTCTGTGTCACCAGAGGAGCACAGGAGTTGTTTAAAAAGCTCAGGGCCATCCTGAAGCTGCAAAGTGCCTGATGTGTCTGTGTGCTGCAAAACCTGGAGTGAAGAAGCATTTTGGAACATGGCTGTGATGCTCTGAGGATGGATCCTGCTCTCTGTGGGGCTGTGCAAAGCTCTCAGGGAGGTGTGGAGGACAACACCCATCTCCTTGATTTTGGGATGTAGCTCCAGCCCACGAGTCCCTCATGCCCTGACCACTGGGTTTGATGCAGCCAAGGCTGCATGAGAGAGCACATGGATGTTGTTAAGGTGTTATGTTTATTTTTGCAGTTTTAAGTCAAAATCCAGACGTAAGATGCTATTTCATCCAAGGGCACTAGCAGCCAAGAAGGAGTTGTTTAAGCCGGGGAAGAGCCCCTTGTGCCACACTTACACCATGCTCTGGTTGTCCCATTGTTTTCCAGTAGGCAAAGGAGAGTTTTCCAGTGAAGCAGCTCACTTGCAAATCAGGGGGTTCTCACGGTGGCTTTTATGCTGGAACAAATTACTGCCTCACTTGCAAATCAGGGGGTTCTCACGGTGGGTTTTATGCTGGAACAAAGTACTGCCTCGGGGTAAACCAGGCTGAGGTGTGTAATTTAAGAAAATTAATACAAGCTTATTGCAGCAGTATTAATGTCTCCAGTGCAATTATCGTTATCAGCCCGAGCAGGATAGGAATCTTACTCTTAAAGAATTGAGCCTCAAACCAGCAGCTTTTCCTCAATAAGGCTTTTCTGAGGTCTTTAATTACACCCTCAACCCTTAGACTACCCTATTTTCAATTTGTTCCAGGGCAACCTGCTTTCTGTTTGCACTGGAAACCCATTTTCTGGGGTATCATAGTTTGGGACCAGTCCGTGACGCTCGAGGGCTTGTAGGGGCCAGACTGTACCAGCTCCCATGGTGCAAAGGGAAGAGTAAATAACCCCAAGCTGAGGCTGGGGATAGTGGTGCTATTACCATTTTATTTGCAAGGTTTGGAAGATTTATAGCTGTTTGTGCTGAAGCAGGGGTGAAAGAGGAAGGTGTCTCGTATCCTCCTCACCAAGGCCTTTTGTACAGTCTCCGGCCAGAGGATCGTGGCAGCTTGCCATGAAAAATCGGCTTTTATTTCTGTTTCTTTTGTCTGCTGACCTGACCCAAGAAACCTCTGTGCTGGCAGCATAATGTAGAGGAAAAATAATAAAGATCTAAACATAGATGGAGTTGTTTAGCACGGATTTCTCACTTTTCATTGTGTTTATTAAAATGAGGACAGCAGCAGTTGAAAAGCCGTGCGGTTACTGTGGGCAGAGCCAGGCTGGTTGTGGCTGAAGCTCTTAGGGCAGCCGCTGGATGCAGGGAGGAATGGGAAAATTGGCCAAGAGTGCTGTAAGGGGCCCCAAATCTGACCTCCTGACTTGAAACCGAGCCATGGTCGGAAGCATTTTGCACCGTTGCATCTTGCCTATCGGGGCTGGTACCCGCAGCTGTGGGCTGGGTATGGCTTTTAATTCATCCTTCAGTTGCTTGAGTGGAAATACCCAAAAACCCCCTGAAAATATTGCACGATTTAGATATGATCATGTGAAACTTGGCAGCGACAGTTAGCTAGCACAGTTGGCCTCTGTTTGCAGCAGCCGACGACAAAAACAGTCACCAGTGAAAGTCTGTTGGCTGATGACTTTTTTCCACTGCAGCAGCCGAAGGGGTTGTCCTGCCATGGTTTTCCTGTTGAGTGTCAGTGGTGTATCTGCAGAGAGCCCTGAGTGCATGTGCAGCCTGTGTAGGGCAGCCCAACCTTGATGATGCTTTGCTTTCCCTTCCCCTTTTATTGTCAGTGGGAATGAGATCATCATTCTCAATCCTCTCTTCCCACATGGTCATGGGTGGGAAGCTGGGGAAGGGGCTGGAGCAGAAGTCTGATGAGGAGCAGCTGGGAGAGCTCAGCCTGGAGAAAAGGAGGCTCAGGGGGACCTTATCACCCTACCACTCCCTGAAAGGAGAGTGTAGCAAGGTGGGGGTTGGTCTCTTCTCCCAGGTATAAAGCAGTAAAACAAGAGGAAATGGCTTCAAGTTGCACCAAGGAAGGTTTGGATTGGATATTAAGGAAGAATTCTTAATGGAAAGGTCTGTCCAGCCCTGGCACAGCTGCCCAGAGCAGTGGTGGAATCATCATCCCTGGAGGGATTTAAAAACCATGTGGATGTGGCACTTGGGGACATGGTCAGTGGTGACCTTGACAGTGCTGGAGAAATGGTTGGACTCGATGATCTTGCAGGTCTTTTCCAAGCTAAATGATTCTGTGATTCTATGTTTTTTGCATACATCTGCAGCAGGTTTGCAGTCTTCGTACACAGAGCTGCCTGCAGCCAGATGCATCTCAGCCCGTGGACTTGGGAGGTGCAGGTTTCTTGGAGCTTTACCCAGGCACCGCAAACCCCATCTGATAACAGGAACATCTTTATGCTGACCTTGAAACCATGCAACAGGTCACCACCACCTTTTGCTGTGCTGCATTGAGAGACTTTAATATAAGCCAAATTTGCAGGAGGAACAAATTCCCCTGTAAACAAGATGAATGAAATAGAGAGGAATAAAATGTAAAGTGCATTATTTTTTAAAGAAGGTGCCCCTATTAAGCAGTTTGTTCCTTTATATAAATGTTCAGCCTTATGTTTCTTACACAAGTGGAAACAATTGGCTGTGTTAGGTACATGTGGGGGCTGCAGATTCTGGGGATGGAGGGGAGATGGACAATGAGCCTCACAACAGGAGGTTCCCTCACAACAGGGACCTAAGAACAGCATCTTGCAAATTGCTGCTGGAGGTTTATTGTGTATCTGTTATAGTATCAGCCATCCTAGAGCTTATTATGTGTGCTGACTTCTGTTAGACACGGTGTCTTGGGGTCAGTTTGGGAGAGATGCTCAGAGGATGGGGATAAGTTGCTTTCATTGGAGCAATGCTGTTTTAGCAGTGGATGAGAGCAGGACAGCCTGATGGGTGTCGAGGTGGCTTTTGGTTTCCCATGATGACCTTCTTGGGGTTCCTGTGCCATGCCAGGCAGCTCAGTGCTCAATGGGACACTCTCCTTTCTGTTAGAACCATCCCAAACCCCATCTCATCTCCTTTCTGGTGTTTTGTCCCACAAGGTCCATCTGGCCCCAGATTTGTACTCTTTACTTCCAGTTTTTGTGAGCCTCTCAGGCAATTATCAGTTGTGGAGCCCAGGACAAACCACACACATCTGAGACATGATTTAGCACAGAGATAACCACACCATTTTATAGTGCAGAATTCCCCTCAGCTAGTGCAATCTGGAATATTCAAAGCCTTGTTTTTATCTCCTTCTAGCAGTTTTGCTCCTGCTGGGATTGTCACTTTGTCTCTCTCTCCATCTACACCACACAACCCTCTCTCCTGGCAGTTCGGAAAACCATATTCCAAGAGTTAATTAATTTGTACTGGAAAATGTCCCATATGCTACTCTTTTTGTTTACGGACGTGGAAAGCGAATGGCAGAATTAATTAACGCTAATGCCTCTGCGTGTGTGTTGTGTTTTTTTTTTCCCTCTCTCCTTTCTGAACCAGAAAATGACCGATGGAGAAATTGCAGCAGCCACTTCAGCTCGAGCAGCCGGGCGCCAGCATCTGGGACTGCTTGTCGGACAAGGGCGAGGAGAGCTCGCGCTGGCCGAGGGACACGTCCAGCACCTGCTCCGTCACCAACCTGATCAAAGAGCTGAGCCTCAGCGACCCCCACGGCAACCCCTCGGCTCCCCCCAGCAAGCGCCAGTGCCGCTCGCTGTCCTTCTCCGACGAGATGTCCAGCTGTGGCACCGCGTGGAGACCCTTGGGCTCCAAGGTGTGGACGCCGGTGGAGAAGCGCCGGTGTTACAGCGGGGGCAGCGTGCAGCGCTACTCCAACGGCTTCGCCACCATGCAGAGGAGCTCCAGCTTCAGCCTGCCCTCGCGCTCCAGCCTGCTGTGCGCAGAGCATCCCGCCCGGGCGGGGGGCCAGCCCAGGACATCGGGCGCTGGAGGGCACGGGGCAGACCGGGTGGACATGCAGAGGTCGCTGTCCTGCTCGCACGATCGCTTCTCTTCCTCGGAGTGTTGCACCCCGGCGTCCACGCCGGAGCTGTGCCGGCGCACCGCGGGGCTGTCCCGGAGCCGCTCCCAGCCCTGTGTCCTCAACGACAAAAAGGTTGGCGTCAAGCGGCGCAGACCGGACGAGGTGCAGGAGCAACGGCCCTCGCTGGACCTGGCCAAGATGACCCAGGTGAGAGGCAGCAGGGCTGTCCCTGCCAGGGGCTCAGCAGTGAGGTGATGATGTTCTCTGCTTGGCTAACTTCAGCATCCTCCCAGGGTGGGAGTGTGGCATGCAGAGCAGCACAGGTGTTACAGGGAAACGCATCCTTCTGTCCAAGCAGAATATCCATTCCCTTCCAGATGGGTTTAATCATAGAATCATAGTTTTAGGGGACCTTAGAGATGATCCAGCCCCAACCCCTGCCCTGGGCAGGGACACCTCCCACCAGAGCAGGTTGCTCAAGGCTCATCCAACCTGGCTGTGAACACTGCCAGGGTTGGGGCAGCCACAGCCTCCCTGGGCAACCTGGGCCAGTGTCTCACCAAATTTAACAAAGTCCTGCATTTCTGTTCCACACTGACCATTGCACACCGAGTCCACTGTGGTGGTGTTTCCTCCTAGCATGGGTTTCAAGCAGGAAGATGCTAAATCCCACATTTTTGAGTTTGGGGAGAGGAGCCACAGGGAGATGAAGGCAGCACCCCGAGGCACCCAGTCCTGACTCTGTCAGGAGCTGAGTTCTTACAGCTACAGGCTTTACTTGCACTCAGCCTCTGTAATTTTCCACTCTGGAGATGTTATCACGTTTCATTTTCAGTTGCAAACACAGAGCACAACCTCCCTCTTCAATTTGCTGTGCAGAACCAGATAACATTTTGAAGTGCGAATCAGGGAGGATTTTGCTCCTGGGTCCTCTCCCTGCAGGACCAAGTGACAGGACTTTAGTGATAGACAGAGTGAGAGGCTGCATCGAAGGGCAGCACAAGAAACATTTCCATTTCACACTCATAAGATTTGTTTTCCTGCAGTTTTATGATCTGACATTTCCTACATCAATAATTTATAGTTGTAAAGTCAGTGACACCACCAGCTCTGTGTGGGATGGAGATAATGGGGCTGTGAAAACCTCAGGGCTCCTGCTGTGGGAGCAGGGCCACCCTGGCCACATCCAGCGTGGGCCGTCACCTTCTGCTGGCCATAAACTTCCCCCATGGTTTCAGTTCAATGTGATAATCTGCTCTGCCTCATCCCAGTGTCAACCATGTGAGAACGTCTGCCCTGATGGGTTTTTGTAGAGCTGGGGCCAGCAAAGCTTGTCTGGTGCAAGACATCACCTTGTTGTTCACAGGGAAACTGCTGGGAGCAGTTCGTTGGGTGGGTGGAGAAACAGCCATGGGGTTTCTCCCCTCCCTGTTCTACACCAGGTGACATCCAGTGCTCTGTGTGTGTTTTCTCCTTACAAGAACGTGATGTTTTATGGTGTTTTGTGCTTGGAGGCACAGAGGGTGTTTTGAAGGAGTTCAGTGGTGTTGGAGGAAGAAATTGGCTTTTCCTCCTTCAGAGGAGCTTAGAGGATAAATGGAGTGAGGGCATCACATATTTAGGTGATAGCAGGGGAAAAACATGAGGATTGCTCTTGTCTTTTGCTAAATCACACCAGCAATGTTTACTATGCTAAGCTTATTTTATTAGATAATAAGCTGGATGAGGAGAAAAACCACTTACATGTGTTATTATATTTTACTAGCCGGGGTGGAATAGCACAACTGCATCCTCCTAATTCTCTTTGTACAAGCAGCCATGCATCGTTTCACCTCCCTGGAGGTGTTCAAAGGTTAGATTGGGTATTAGGAAGAAGTCGTGAAGGTGGTGAGACACTGGCCCAGGTTGCCCAGGGAGGCTGTGGCTGCCCCAACCCTGGCAGTGTTCACAGCCAGGTTGGCTAAAGCCTTGAGCAACCTGCTCTGGTGGGAGGTGTCCCTGCCCAGGACAGGGGGTTGGGGCTGGATGATCTTTCAGGTCCATTCCAACCCCTTAACATTCTATGAAACTCTGGTACTCTGATGCTGTGGGGCAAAGCCAGCTTCTCCACTGCACCAGTCCAAGGAGGAAAGTTTGTTAGCCAGGAAACAAAGGGCTTGGCCAGGGAAATCTCGTGGGGTCAGCAGGAGCTTCCAGTGGATGCTGAGCCCTGGCAAACTGTTATCATTTGGATGGCCATGGCTTTTACATGCACAGGTGATCCAAGGATGACAAAAATCTATCCCCTCCTCTTCTGCTGGTCCAGCCTGGGTGGTCAGGGCCACTGCCAAATGCCCAGTGGTTGCTACAGCCAACAACCAACAACAGTGTCACTAAGGGTCCACCACTGGGATCCAGTCCAAGCAGGTCCCATGGAGTATTCTCAGTTTCCAGGGAGGAAACCCATCAGAGCTCGGGTGCCCATGGCAGTGGGTGAATCCCCAAGGCAGGGATGTGCTGCTGGGTTTGGGCAGTGGAGCTGGAGCAGGAAGGGGAGAAAGCAAAGCCAGGAGCTGTGCAAGGAGCAGGATTTTCAGAGCTGCTGGGTTATGGAAAGCAGCACTGGCAGGCTGCTCTCTGCGTGGGAGGACTGGCACAGAGGGACGAGCAGGATGAGGCAAGTCATGGTGAGCATTCTTGCCTTTGGTGGGGCATGGCCAGAGCCCTCCCTGGGACAGGAATGCTGGGAAGGCCAACTAGTTCCTCAGGGGCTGCAGGAGATGCAGGGTAACTGTGCTCGAGAAAACCCTGCAGGTTTGTGTATCCCCCTAGGCTGCTTTTAATGCTTCCTGCCCAGGGGACTGCAAAGTTGGGTGATTTCAGAGGAAGAGCTGAAATAATGGCAAGGTGTCTGTATGGCCCCACATGTCCCTTAGTCTGGCTTTATATGGGGTAGAAATGGCATGTGTGCTATGGCCTTCATGATCCAAAGCAAAGCCAAAGCATCCAGAGTGTTCACTTTACAGCCAGGGACTGAGCCTCGGGGTGCTGGGTGCTGGATCAGCATCTGCCTCTGGCAGCAGATTGGTTAATTTTCTGCTTGTGCTGGTAACCACATATGTTTATAGGCCTGAAACGCTGTGCCATAATCAAAATAAAAATAATTTGACCTGAAAGAGCTGTTTTCTTCATACCAGGAGGGATATTTAGGCCAGGCGGGAGGGAGGGGGCCGCTCCTGGAAGCAATTACATGGCCACATAACTGGGCTAATTAAGAAAGAGACCTAAATGTTAAAGTTAAGCTGGGAGGGAAAATACTTGGGGAAACATTGCCTTTAATTCCTCAAAGTTCTGGTTGTGCGTCTTGTGCCTGCAATTCCCATAGCTCAGAAAAGGGAGGTGAGCCCATATCCCTCCTCTTACTATTTTCTCATCCAGCACCAAACTAGACAGGCTTCAACTTTGGGCAGAAACCAAAAATGAACACATTTGTTGTTGAAATAGTAACAATTTTTAAAAGCCACAGCACCAGGAAAATCCTTCTGCACTTTCTAAGTGCCCTCCAACACTCAGCTTTGTGCCTCTTTGCCTTCAAACTGGGTATAAACCTGGTGGGTCACATGCAGGAGAGTGGGCGATGATGAGGTGCCATGTAATTATCCCATCTGGAGGTAGGTGGGATGTGAAGAAGCTGGTTTCTGTTTTTCACCCCAATCAAGGACAGTTTGGGTACCAGGGGAGCTGCCTGGCATCTCTGACCTCCTTGCATGAGGACAGCCACCATCCTCTCGTTACGGTGTAGGCCTTGGGCTTGCTTTCCAACTTCACCTTTTATTCCTCCGTTTCACATGAAGCACAAGCCCAAGGAGGACAACATCCCACCTCTGAGATCCTGGCAGTTGTCCTGACAGTGAGTTAATTAATCTTGAGGAAGAGTGCTGTTCTTCCTAGGCACAATACTCTTGGTCTCACAGCTCCATGTACTGTGTCTGTAGGGCAGGATGTACTCAGAAAGGGTTTGGATCAGGTTTTTCCATGAATTGGAATTCCTCAAAGAGCTGGTTTTCTGATGTGGGTGTGCCTAAAAATTATGAGAGATGAGAAATGTCACAAAGCTTATGGCACCCCAGGTTTCCTCCTGACTGGGCTGATTTTGGCAGGAATGGGTCATTTCACCCTTTGCAAGACACTAGGAGAGGCTGACTGGGTGTATTAGGTGAGAAAAATGGATTTTCTCAAATAAAAGCAGCCTCTGCCCAGGATGCTGTCTGGTGGAGAGACACCCTTTTGGTTTTTCATTCCCAGGGTCTGGTGGAATTCTTCTCCAAAGGAACTTGACATCTCCAACCTCCACATGTACTACTTCCTACCATCTCTGTATCAACATTTCCCAGGATCTGGGGTGTTGCGTACAAAGACAGGATGAGGAGGTTGGGGCTGTTCAGCCTGGAGAAGAAAAGGATCTGAAGGGGCTCCAGAGAAGCTGCAGAGAGACTCTTGGTTAGGAACTGCAGAGAGAGGACGAGGGGCATTGGGGAGAAATTGAAAGAGGGAAATTTAGATTAAATATCAGGAATAAGTTTTTTCCTGTGAGGGTGGTGAGACGCTGTCCCAGGTTGCCCAGGGAGGCTGTGGCTGCCCCAACCCTGGCAGTGTTCACAGCCAGGTTGGATGAGCCTTGAGCAACCTGCTCTGGTGGGAGGTGTCCCTGCCCAGGGCAGGGGTTGGGGCTGGGTGATCTCTAATGTCCATTCCAACTCCTTAACATTCTGTGAAACTACGAAACACCTCGTGGCAGTATGAACACACATTTGGTGGCTTGTTTGAGTCATCTACAGGAAGCTGAGCCATAGGCCAGCCCTGATGTTGGCATGTGCATGCTGGCTGAGCAGATTGCTTCCCTTCACACAGGCTCTGGGGAGCTGCAAGGGAGACATAACACGTCTGTCACACCGACAACGGCCGCCCCGATCGGGAGTTTGCCATCATCCCTGGCAGTGGCAGCGCCAGCCCTCACTATCTCTTCCCCATTCTGTTTCCTGCCCTCTAACATTTTGATATGGTTGTCACTGGGAGACTTTAATTTGTGTTAACACTGTTCCAAACACAGCTATTCTTTACACAGATGTGGGTTTTAAATGGATTGTTCATATATATATATTTATACAGGGTTCAAAGCCAGGTTGGATGAGGCTTGGAGCAACCTGGGCTAGTGGAAGGTGTCCCTGCCCATGGCAGGGGTGAAACTGGATGGTTTTAAGGTTCCTTCCAACCCAATCTTTTGTATCATTCTATAAGATATATACATTTATTAACCCCCTGCAATATGAACCCCAAAGAGCAAGTAGCCCTGAATGGAGATGGAGGATGACCTTGTAGTGTTTGAAAATACAACTTTCCATGAAAAGAAAGGCACTAACATTTTTGTGGCATGTAAGGCATAGCACTGCTGGCAGTAATTATCAGATGTGCTGAGAGATATTGGTTCCTCCCAGTTGTAAGTGCTCTGCTACGGTTTGTGCACTGGGAGTAAATGAAGATTTGGGGGTGACACTGGTCACTATTTCTGATGGCTCTGCAAGGTTTTGACTTCTCCGTGAACCTTCAGAGCAGTTGCAGTTTGAAGAGCTATATCTCTCATAACAAATATTGTACTGCTGATATCTTCTCCTCCTGAGTTTTCTCTAACATCCATTTACTTTCCTGCAAGGATTGTACCCATGAACACCTAGAAGTCCCAGGCAGCTGGCAAAGTACTTCTCTTCCATGAAGCTCGTGTGGAATGTAGCATATGGAGCAGAGAGTAGTTGCTCTAGAAGAAATAAGGCAATTAAAATACAATATGCCCTTGCATCTCCATGGGTTGTGGAGAGCATTCTGTGGTTTTGAGTTCACCATAAATAGCTTCTGCCCTGGGGTGGGTTGTGAAGGATGGATGGATGGATGAGAGGCTGCAGTGGTCACCAGCTGAGGAGGTGGTGAGGGTGAAGCACTGGGTGTGCCTGATAAGGAGGAGTCATAGAGAAGACTTTGTGCCTGAAGGGTGCCTGTCATGGGGAGGGTGCTGAGAGGCTGGTGCCGGGTACAACAGGACTATTGATGTTGCTCTCTGGCTGCCATGGACAGACAGTGCCATTCATGGGGTGACCTCACTGTCCTGCGAGGAGCACGTGCCTTCACAGGATGGAGTCATCTGCACCAGGAATCACAAGAGCATCCCCCTGAAATGGGGGTGTGTGGCTCTTGGGGTTTTCAGGATTAAAATCAGCTCCAGCCTGAGCTGGAGATCCACAGGGGTGCAGTGTGTAATGCTCACAATGATTGAGAGCTGGCCCCTGCCTTGTTTTCCTTTCCAAACTAAGGAATAATGGCAGTTTCCATGAGGATCCATGCAAAAAAGAGCTCATATGTTCCCAAAGCTGAATGTGAGGTGCTGAGACACTGTCCCAGGTTGCCCAGGGAGGCTGTGGCTGCCCCAGCCCTGGCAGTGTTCACAGCCAGGTTGGCTAAAGCCTTGAGCAATCTGGTGTGGTGGGAGGTGTCCCTGCCCAGGGCAGGGGTTAGGGCTGGGTGATCTCTGAGCTCCATTCCAACCCCTTAGCATACTGTGAAATAAAAAGCCCACCAGCTTGAATTGTTTCAGGCTGGTCTTGACACTGAGTGGGAAGAAGTTTCAAAGTGTGAGTTGGGTGAAGGGTCCTCTCCTCTGCGAGCACCCAGCTCTTTCCTTGACAGGTAAAAGTCTCTACATTTTCAAGTCAGAAGGTTTTCTGCTGAAATTCTGGCACCTTTCAGGCTTGCTGGTGAGGCCAAGCAAGGGCAGAGATCTCGGTCGGCGTCAGCACCCACTCGAGCCAGTGGCAAATCTTGCCAAATGCAGTGACAAGCGAAAAACTGGAGGTTTTAAATTCCAGACGTATCCCAGGAAATAGTTTGCTATTGATGTAACTTCTGAGACAGATTCCAGCTTCCAAGCCCCAGTGTTTTTTAAATAAACACAAATGAGAGTCTGCAAAGGTCAGTTTGTGGCTTGGTGGGAAAAAACCTTCAGTGCAGGATCAAAAGAAACTGACTTGGTCCAGAGGGCACAGAGAACCTCAGAGGCCAATTGGTTTTAACTCTGGTCAGACTATTCCACATGCTGCCCTCCTTATTCACTGCCCTGGTATTTCTTTATTTTAAAATACAAGTGGTTGAAAAAACTTCAAGTCAGTGTTGGAAGTTAGGTTCGTAATGCTGTTTGCTCCTGGCATGAACTGTTAATGATTTTCTTTCCCCCTCTCTGATCTTTTCGCAAACAGTTCTCTGTAGCTGTTGAAGTATTAACAAACCTTGTTTAAGCTGGTGCCATTGAGACAGGGTAGGCCGAGTTGTACTTGTTGGTATTGCTGCTGGTGTAAGCCCATGTTGCTGACTTAGAATCACAGAATCCCAGAATGGTTTGGGTTGGAAGGACCTTAAAGATCATCTAGGTTCAACCCCTTGCCATGGACAGGGATACCTGCCTTGTGTCCAGGTTGCTTCAAGCCCCATCCAACCTCACCTTGATCACTTCCAGGGATGGAGCAGCCACAGTTCTCTGGCAACTTGTGCCACTGCCTCAGCACCCTCACAGGGAGGAATTTCATCTTAATTTCTAATCCAACCCTGCCCTCTGTCAGTGGGAAGTCATTCCTGTCACTCCATG